CGGCACCCTCTTAGACTGTGTTTGGCTTTGAGGACCCTTTCTTAGGCAGATTCCTTTTCCCCAGCTGCTAGAGAAGGTTCTCATTGTAGGAACCACTTGGGCTGAGGCCCAGGTACCAGCACAGCACACCCATTAGGACTGGATTTAGTGACCTGATCTCGGCCACTGTGGGGACCAAAGCAGGATGCTGACCTGCGTGAGGAGCCCTGGTTCTCACCTGGATCCTACCTTTGCTGTGTGGTCTTGAGCCAGCCACTCACCTTCTCTGTCTCTCTGCTTCCTGGTCTATAAAACAAAGAAATACTGAGCTCAGAGGCCTCCAGGGGCCCTTCCCATGCTGCTGTACTCAGATTCTAATTTGCTGTGTACTAATTAGGAATCGGAGACAATTTCAGTTCAATACATATGATCCTCAGTGAGTAAACAATTGGAAATAATTCCCTCCTTTATGACTTCCCAGAGACTCACTCATGAGCAATGAGAACCCAGCTGAAATCAATAGCTTTTATTTCTCAGACAGAGAAATTGCAGATTCCATGAACTGCTGGGCATTGCAATTCATTCTTGTATTTTAAAATTTTATGTTTATGTTTATGGACTGCCATTAGATAATATGGATTCATCCTGAAGGTTGTTTTTTTCATTAACTCATTTTACTTATTAGTTCACATTTATAGCTTGGGTTTAATAAGCACATTGTGCAAAAGTCACGAAATACCCTTCTTCTTTAACAATATTTTAAAATCAAGACTCCTTTCTGAGTCATCTCAGGTTTATTTGCTCATAACTTGCTTCTCCTGTGATTTGACCCCCAGCACAGCCATCTCTAGCCTGTTATTCAACCTTGAGCTTGAGTGTCTTTATTCGTAATATGGGAAAGACATCACTAGTTAATAAAAGTAATAAATTTTAAAAGCTAGGATTCAGCAATCACTGTATTCAAAGTGGTTCTCATATGTAAGCTGGTTGAATCTCACATTCCTATGAGGTGGCTTTATTTTTTCCCACTTTGTAGGGGAAGAAACTGAGGCCCAGAGAGGTTAAATGACTTGCCTGAGGCCACACAGTTGGTGATAGTGGCAGAGCTGGGATGCAAACCCAACATGTCTGTGTGAGTCAAGCTGACACCTAAAATTAACCCTCACAGTGTCTAAATCAGCTACCACCTTGCCTTCCACCTCTACCCTTGGCCTGTCAACAGCCCTTTGTCCCCCCAACCCTACCCCCCACCAGGCCCCACCCATCCTCCTTCCATCCTCTGGTTTTCTGTTCCCGCTTGCCTGGGCTTCTTGCTGCTTTTAATCTCCAGAAAGGACACTTCTGCCCTATGATCATCAGTGGCTCCCCATTGCCTGTGGATAAATTTCATCATCTTTGGCCTGGCATTCAAGGACCTTCATCATCCACCCCTTGCCTTCGGTTTCTGTCTCATTTCCCACTCCGCCCCAACAGGCAGGCTTAACTCATGGTCTTGAATACCTACCCACACCTGGGGAGCCCCATACCTTTGCTCGCCCTGGTCTCTCTGCCTATGGTGCCCTCCTGTCATCTCCATACATTCCGATCTTCCCCCTCCTCCAGGATGCCTTCCCTGGGGCCTCTCACTCCTCTGAATTCATAATGATATGATGAACCCCTCCTTAGCCACCTGGAGGCCACCTGCTGTGTGAATGGCCTTCTGGTTTCTGGCAAATCAATTCCAGCTATGATGTTCATCGTGGATAATGGCGAAGAAAACGAGACATCTAGGGGCTGCACAGAACTCTGTTTTTGAGCCTGAGGATTTCGTAGATGAGGAAACTGAGGCCCAGAGGTGGGGAAAGAGGAACTTGGGTAAAAGAATCCACTGAATTCTCAGTCCAGGCTCCCTGGGGATTTCTCTGCTATTTCCTGGGCTATCTTGATCACTAGGATTAGAACTACCACTCTGTTGCTGATCACTGCACTTTACAGTTTGCATGAACTTGACCTAAGATAGGCATCTCAGCTGCTCTGGGAGGTTTCACCAAGGCTCAGAGAGGTGGGTTGCCTGCCTCGACCACACAGCCAGTGTCTAGCAGTGGAGCCAGGCCTGGAATGCCAGTCAGGCTGTGCCACAGCTGTGCTCTCCCCCGCTCCCCATGGATGCTGATGCTCACTGGCATGGCTACCTGCTGGCAGCAGCCTTGTGTTTATGCCAGGATGTCCTGGCTGAAGCAGGCAGCTAAAGAATGAAGGAGACAGAGCCAAGGAAAATGCCAGGCCAGGCCTCAGTGAGAGGGATCTGGCCTCAAGTAGCGGGGGATCAGAAGACAGGTGACATGGGCCAGGCCCAGCTCACTGCCCTCAGAGCTGGGCTTCCTGGACTGTGGGGATGACCAGGGCCTTGTGACTGCCCACTCCCAGTCGCATCCACCACTCAGTTGTGTCCTCCCCAACTGGCATTTCTGGGCCTGGACTTGGGAAAGGAGCTTTATCTGAGGATGACACACATGTGCATTTACAATGACACCTGTTCACACACTGAATCCCGCCGACACACAGATGCATGTCCACCCCCACATGCTGCTGACAGTCATGCACACATGCGTGACACACGTCCTCCTCAATGTCTCTAGTTCACGCTCTATTTTAAACAATCTAGGTGGCAGCATCCCACAGTGATCGAGAGCTTCCACTCATAAAGCAAATTGGGGTTCAAATTCAGTCTATTTCACAGCTGTGTGTCTGACAGTTACCTAGCTTCTCTGGTCTTCAGTTTCTCATCAATAAAACGGGAATGATAGCGCTTAGAATGAAGTGGGTGGACACATGTAAAGCACTGACCACAGGACCTTTCTGTCTCATTTCTACTCAGCTCCCACAGGCAGCGTTGGCCTGTGGTCTCAAACACCTGCCCCCTACCCTCACGTCCAGGTATCTCCATGCCTGTGCTCACCCTGGGCCCATTGCCCACAGCGCCCTGCTGCCGTCTCCACACACCCATGTCTGCCCCCTCCTCCAGGAAGCCTTCACATGCCCACGGGAGTTAGAGGAGAAGCTCCTCTTCCTGTGAGTTATTAGAAGCGCAGGTTTCAAAGCTGGCCTGAGAGATGGTAGAGACTGATGGAGGGTCCGTGATCCTGTTTCACAGATGGAGAAACTGAGGCTCCATGCAGGGGAGGGTGTGCCTGAGTGTTCACAGCCAGTTAGTGTGGTATTGGGACTGGAACCCCGGACTCCTGCTTGTGAGTCTACAGCTGTCACTTCCTTCCGAGAGTGAAGACTCCCTCCTCCATGGATCTGTTAGTTGGGTGGGTGTTCTGGTTTTCTCAGCCAGTTTGAGGGAACATGGAAGTGGGGGGAAAGATGGAGGCCAAGGGGGTCCCCAGATGAGTCTCTTTATCAAGTGTGTGATGGTGCGTTACAGAGAGGAGTGGGGATGCTGGGGAGGAGAGGCCCAGAGAGGCTGAGAGAGACACACAGTGGGGACTGGGACAGGGGTGGCTGCAGCATGAACCACGGGTGACCCTGGTGAGCCTGTAAGGACAGCGTGGCTGTGGATGCTGCTACCGAAACCATCTCTGTGGTCACCTCTTTCCTGCAGCCTTTTATTTATTTCTTTATCATGCCCTTTTGGAAAACGCTGGGAACACCACCCCTCCTGGGGAATCCTCCCTCCCATCCCTCCCCAGTTCACACCGTCTGGTGTGACATTCGTGCTCACCAGCTTGCAGAGTGCTAATGACATTTGCATTTTGCTGGCTGGCGAAATGTGGGTTGTGCTTGGTGACTGGGGTAAGGGGATCCTACAGGCAGGTGGGAGGTTCCCAGCCTAGAAGGAGGGGCAGGCTTGCTGGACTGGGGGCCCAGACTCTGAGATGTAGAGAAAAGGGAGAAGGTGGGTGCAGAAGAGACAAATGGCTGGCGGAATTTAGAGAGGCTGTTTGTCTAAAGACTTGCCAGGAACACAAGGCAGCTCCAAGTCCGGTGTTCCACCTCTCCTGGCATGCACTGCGCTATCCTCCTCTGTGCTGCCTCCTTAGCATTTATTGAGCAATTTCTATATGCCAAGTGCTCCTCTGTGGGCTTCACAGACTTATGAAAGTCATTTTAATTCCCAGCAATCCTCGGGAAAAGATGCTATTACTATTCCTATTTTACAAATGAAGAGTCTGAAGCTCTGAGAGGACCCCTGACTTCCCTCTTCTGGAAAGATGTTGTGCCAGCCCGTGGCCAAGGTCTACATGCTTCCAAAGCCCATGCTCTTGGCCACTGTGGGCAACCTCCTGTTCCTTGTCTGGGCTTGAGCAGAGCCAGGAAACACTTGTCTGCTGAGGCCCACGACTGGGTGGTGAGCATCCTCTCCCCTCCCCCACCACAGCATGCAACAGGCTCCTGCTGTGCTCCTGGGGCTGCTCCAGTTTGACAGCTACAGAGGAGGGTATGGCCCGAGAGAGGCTTCAGCAAGAGTCAGGAGAGACTCAGAGTCTAGGCCTTCCTCTGACACCAACTTGCTGCTGTGTGACTCCGAGCAAGTCAGTGCCCCTCTCTGGGTATCAGTCTCCTTATTGGTGGAAAGAGGCCATTGGTCTGGCTGCATTGGAGCATCCTGGGAATGCATTTTCTTGCATTGAAGAAGCTTCTCTCCAATCTGCTTGGGCCCATGGAGTTGCCTTGCACTCAGACATACAAATTATGTTTTACATCAAAGCAAATCATGAAACATTTGCCTCGCCTCCTCTCCCTTCTGCAAGGGGCCTAAACTAGGGTTTAGGCTAGTTGCAGGGGGTAGGATGCTTATGTATTTTTACCCCACACACGTGTACTCAGGCACATGCATACCTTTGTGTCTTAGGATTATTTCCAGCCTACTTCAGTCAGATCTAGATGTTGAGTCCCCAGTCCAGATGCTCACCCCCAGGCTCCCGCAGTCTTGGTTTCATCACCCCGCCTCCTGCAGGGCTGGGAGAGCCTTGCAAACGGAAAGAAGAGACCTCGGCTCTGGCAGGTAATCACGACTGCGTGTGCTTCTCTCACAGGTGAGCATCTCCCAGACAGCCTCAAGCTTCAGGTGAGCTGAGCTTCTAACACTGCTACAAAGCAACTGGAACCCCTTGAATTTGATTTCTGGAGACGCAGGCATAATCCTTTTGCAGACGTCTCAACGCTGGCTCTCCAGGTAACAGGGTTTAGGCGTGTGCAGCAGGGGGATTTTTGCTACTTTTGTTGTTGTTGCTGTTATTGTTGCTAAGGGTAACCGTCAGCAGGGCGCCTGTTATTCTCCATCATTCATTCTCTCTCGTGGATTAGTGTCTGTCTCCCCCATCATGCCAAAGGTCCATGGCAGGATAGTAAGGGGTGCAGATAGCATGAGTGGATCTGAGCCAGGGTTGCTGGGGACTCACTAGATTCACCAAAAAGATAACCCTCAGAGGGGCCGGATAGCTGAGAAGGCTGAGGTGCAGGCTGGCCCATCGGGTTGCTGGCTCTTGGCCCCCAGGCTCACCTGGGGAAGGGTGGAGCTGTTGTCCAGGTAAGCAGGAACCAATGGTGGGTCAGAAGTAAAGGCTGGCTGCAGTGGGTGGCGAAGAGGGCAAAGGCTGAACTGAGGTCAGATGCTGCGTCATTTGGGAGCCAACATTCAACTTAAACTGGATTAAGCAAGATAGACCATTTTATTAGTTTTTTTATTGGTTTCTAATATGGTGATGATTTGGGGCCTATTTATAGGTTTCAAGGCAGGCAGGGCTGAATCCAGGGCTCAAATGCTGCTGTTAGATAAAACTGTGTCTCATCACATCCGGGTCCTCTGCTTCCCTCCTTGTGACCGTCAGTCCTCGGCAGGCACTTGCCATGTGGCAGCAGGGCAGGGACCTGCAGCTCCAGATGGACGACTTTCTCATTTCAAACTCAATGGAAGGAAGCTTCTTTTTCCCAGGACTTCCAACAAAAATCCCAGAGTCGAGGCTTATTGGATAATCTTGGGTCACATGACCACCTCTGACCAATGACTGAAACCTGGAGGCTAAGATATGCTGATCGGCCAGACTGGGCCAGTGGTGGGTGGTGGACCAGTGGTGGGTGGTGGTGGCATGGTGAGGTCAGGAGGTGTCATGGGTTGGGGAAGTCAGCCTGAATACATGAAAGGGGATGGACTTCCAAGGGAAAATCTAGGCATTATTTTTAGAAAAAGGAGAAAGAATGCTGAGCAGACAAAACAGCAGATTCTCCCCATTGGTGTCATGGTGGGAGTTGGGGGCGATGAAGTGCCCAGGTGGTTGCATGTGTCCCAGTTGGGGTCCTTCCTGTGATTTATGGTACCAGCATTGGCCTCTCTCTGAGTGCCTCATTTTTAGTGAACCTAGCATCTGAAAGCCCGACTTTCTCTCTCTCTCTCTCTTTTTCTCTCTCTCCTCTCTCTCTCTCTCTCTCTCTCTCACACACACACACACACACATACACCCACCCATACATCTGATGGATCTGCAAGTGGTGCTTCACATTCCAAAAAGATTGTTCCAGACAGTCCTTCTCATAAACAGCGCCTGCACTCTTTGATGGCTGCGCCACTATTTCAGCCACCCCAGCGCCTAGCCACCTTGGGTAGACCTCCACTCACTGGAAAAGCCTTTTCCTTCTTCCCCCACCTCAACTCCTTCATGGCTGGGGGAAGTTTCTTGAGCCTCTTTAGGGTTTATTTGCCCTAAATGAGCCCTTTCCCAGAAGACCAGCCTCAGCCTGGCTTTTCTGAAGCCCCTTAGAGTGATTGGGGGGAAGAGGGGGGTGGGAGCTAGTTGAGCGGAAGCTCTGTCTCTGGGGGCACGAGGGTCCACGTGGCCAGGCCAGCCTGGCAGCCCTGCTGCCCTCCACTGCGCCAGCTGTGTCCTGCATTTAGGGTGTGGCATGTGATTTCATTTAAGAAAAGATTCCTCTGTGGAAAAAAATACTGAAAACCACAGCTTGTGATGCTGCCTCCCAGGCAGCTGCGGCCAGGCACATTGTCAGATCTGCCCCTTGCTTGGTTTTGGTCAACCACAAACCTCCTGGCCCTCCCCCAGTCCTTCTCTCGCTCTCTGTCTCGCCTGTGGGCTCCGAAGCTCTGAGTCACCATGCAGCCAGCTCAGCGCTCAGCACCACCCTGCCTTATATGGTGAGCTCAGCACCTCTGGGTCAGTGAGTGCTAATTCATTTATTCAGCCAACGTCTATCGAGTGCCTACCGTGAGCCAGGAGCTGTTTTAGATGCTGGGAATTGAGAGTGAGCAAAGCCCAAAGGTCCCTGTCCTCGGGGTCCCCTCCCTCTCCTCTTGGAGACCACCCGGGGGCAGGACCCTCCTCTGGGTGTCTTGCCCCCAACCCCTCGCCCGACGTCTCGCACAATGCTGAACCATAACTGGGCTGGCCTGGTGGGTATGTCGGTCAGTTCCTTTCCACACCATTTGTAAAGCCCCACACCTGTGCCTGATGCAGCAGAACTAGCAGAATGACTTGGTTCTCAGCCTTTAGGACTTGGGGTGTGAGGTGCAGCTGGTCATGGCCCTGGGGAGGAGGAAGGGCACCTGTTAGAGATGTGTACGCAGACCTGCTCTGGAAGTGTGCACCTGTTAATAAAACGCGTCAGACAAGCTCTCCTTCTCAGGCATTCTTCATTCATTCAGATGCACTCAACTGGCACTTCGGAGGCCAGTTCTAAGGGAGACCATGTCAAAGTCAAGACATCAAAGGTGCCGGGCGCAGTAGCTCACACCTGTAATCCCAGCACATTGAGAGGTTGAGGCGGATGGATCACGAGGTCAGGAGTTCGAGACCAGCCTGACCAACATGGTGAAACCCCATCTCTACTAAAAATAAAAATATTAGCTGGGCATGGTGGTGCATGCCTGTAATCCCAGCTACTCAGGAGGCTGAGGCAGGAGAATCACTAGAACCCAGGAGGTAGAGGTTGCAGTGAGCCAAGATTGCACCATTGCACTCCAGCCTGGATGACAGATCCAGACTCTGTCTCAAAAAAGAAAAAAAAAAAAAAGTCATCAGGGTAAAGAATGGGAAGGTCCAGAGCAGAAATACAAAGGAAGGCTTGGGGGTTCAGAGCCATAGGGAGATGTTCCTTCTGCACATTGGTGGTGTAAGATCAGGGGATGCAAGGTCTGTGAGCTGCGCCTGGATATGGGCCAGGTGAGGACACTAGGAAGGGCGTTCAGGAGGAAGACACAGCAAGAGCAGAGGCCTGGTGGTGGGACCCTGAGGCTTGAAAGACTGTGCTGGGCAGGAAGCCAGATGGTTGGTCAGCCTTCTTTCCCACAGGCCTCCAGGCTTGGCCATGTTGGGTCTGAGGCCATCTTGTCTTCAAGGCTGCTTTCAACTACAGCTTGCGTGTGGCGTGGAGTAGCTCCTCCCTTTTCCTTTCGTCCTCTTCGAAAAGAGGTGATGCCGCATGAAGAGATGGTGCCGCATGAAGACCAACAGTTCCTAATCCTCTCATTCCTGAGATACTTTACGGAGCTTAGGACTCATTTTCACTTAGAGCATTGCAAGCAGCCGGCCTGGTGGCAGACCCTGGGCTGGAAGTTGGGAGACTTGGGTTCTTATCCCTGCTGCGCTACTGATGTCCTTAGCCTTCTGGCTGATAGTTTGTCAAGCTCCTTCCGGCTTGAAACGTTGTATTCCATGTCAGACCTGGGCTCAGATCTGAGCTCTGCTAGCAGTATGGCCTCAGTACTCTTGTCTGTAAGTTAGGAATAATAATAGCACACTTCTCATAGGACTGCGTGAAGATGAGAGGAAATACTTGCCTGACGGGGATCAGCATTCATTGTAGCACTGATGCTATTGGTGGTGTTATTATTCATACTTCAATTGTATTAATATAACTCTGTGGGAGTCTTCAGTGTATAGGTGCCTGTTGGTCCATGTCCCAAAACACTTGGGGATGGGGTGAGGGGGTCACACCCCTCCCATCTCCAAATAGCGATGGGGGTGGGGCTGCCTTACCCAGAATCACATTTATTCATTCATTCACCAACACTTCATTGAGCACTTGCTGTGTGCCTGGCCCTCTGAGAAGCACATGGGGTCCTATTGGATAGGATATTCAGGGTCCCTGCTCTTAGCAGCTCAGGTCTTCAGGCCGAGACCTTGCGGGGAAATCCCACCCCAGCTTTCCATGGCACCCGAAGCTTTGTCCCACCCTCTCTTGCCATCTTGGGTCTAAGGCCTAGGTGAAGTGCCAGAGAAGCCACTGAAATGGACTGGTCCAGTGTTGTATCTGTTCGTAAAGGATGGGCTGGATTGCCAAGGCCCAGCACAGCATCGTGAAAACTAAAGTATTTCAGAGGGGAAGATGGGCTGGCCCCTGGGCACCAATGGCGAGGACATGTTTCATTTTCACCCTACTATCATGCTTGTTTGGATCCTGAATAGCAAAGAGTTCTGGTTATTTCTGGAGGACGCCAAGCCTGAGTGTGGAAGGTGCTGGGGTCCAGCCTGCCCCTGTGTTTGCCTCGTGTTCTCCTGGTGGTTGTGGGTATCTCACCCTCTCTGGTCTCTGGCAGCCAGCAGAACCTGGCATGTGAAGCATCAGCCAGCAGCTGGTGAATGGATGGATGGGGGAAGGATCACAGCGGACTCACTAGAATCCATGTTGTCCCAGCGTCACCCAGGGTGGCTGGAGACACCAATCTCTTGGCTTGTTTTTTCGTGACAATTTGATCTTGGCTCCCGTGGAATATCAGGAATTTTTAAGCAGTGGAATGGACGCAAAACAAACGGCTTTTGAGCTTATCGACTTTGTCAGTTTCATTTCAGGGAGGCAGCCTGGTGTGTACCCTGATTTAAGGACCAGCACTTGCAAATGCCAGCTCCGAGGCTGGCTGACCTTGGGCACGTTATTGAGTAGCTCTCAAAATCTAGTCTCTCACCTAGAAAATTGTGGCACTAATGGCATCATAGGGCTGTGATGAGCTTTAGATTAAATAATGAGTGTTAAAACATGTAGTAGAGCTCTGGGCACGTGGCAAATGCTCAAGAAAAGATGATGATGGTATATTTAATGACCACCCGTAAGCTATTTGGTGCATCTTCTTGCTCCCACAAGGGTTTTTGTAGACTATTTGCATTTGTAAGACAAAAAATTACTTTGAAAAGTTATTATTACGCAAGCAATATATGCTTCTTACAAATT